GCTCTCTCTATTGCGCTTCAAAGTTCCGCCATTTTCCTCCCTCGCACTCCTCACTGCACACTTTACACTCCATACTGCACACTTGACACTCCACACTCTACACTCTACACTCGACACTTCACACTCGACACTCTACACTCCACATTTTACACTTGACACTGTACACTCCTCACTCCATGCTGGGTGAAAGATTGTATGTCACTCCACACACTACACTCCACTTTACGCTCTACACTCGACACTCTATCCTCCAAACTTTGCACTTTACAATTTACACTCCACAATGAAGACTTTGCACTCCACACTTTACACTCCACAGTCTACACTTTACACACTACCCTTGACACTCTACACTCTTCACTCTCCACTCCAGACTTTTCACTTTACACTTTAAACTCCTCACTCCTCACTGCACACTTTACACTCCACACTCCACACTTTACACTCCACACTCTACACTTTAAACTCTACACCTTTCACTCTACACTCTACACTCTACACTCCACACTTTACATTTTACACTGTACACACCTCACTCCATAGTGGGTGAAAGATTGCATGTTACGCCACACCTTATACTCCACACTCCACACTCCACACTTTCCACTCCACACTTCACACTCTACACTTTACACTTGACACTCCAGACTTTACACTTGACGCTCTGCACTTTACACTTTACACTCTGCCCTTTACACTTTACCCTCTACGCTCCGCCCTTTGCACTTTGCACTGTATACTCCCCCCACAACAGTCAATCTCCACCCCCTACTGTCATGATCCTCAGCCTGTTGATTCATCGTCTACTAGAAGCCCAAACCATCTGCAGCACCTTTGGAATTGTTATCCTTGCTTTGCAATCCTTCACTACCCCTTCCTCAGTATCACTTCTCATCCCCTTGCAAACTCTCTTGTTCCGAGCCCCAATGAACGCTGCGCTCCGTTGAGCCACTTTACACTGTACAGTCCCCCCACAACAGTCAATCTCCACCCCCTACTGTAATGATCCTCAGCCCGCTGGTTCATCGTCTACTAGAAGCCCAAACCATCTGCAGCACCTTTGGAATTGTTATCCTTGCTTTGCATCCCTTCGCAACCCCTTCCTCAGTATCACTTCTCATCCCCTTGCAAACTCTCTTGTTCCGAACCCCAACGAACGCTGCTCTCCGTTGAGCTTCGGAGTTCCTCCATTTTCCTCCGTTTTCCCCCTACTTTGGACGATTTTCCTTCATTTTCTGTCGTTGTTTTCCTACCTTTTTCCTGTCATTCCTCCATTTTCCTCCATTTTCCCCCTGTTTTCAACGATTTTCCTTCCATTTCTTGTTTTTTTCCTCCCTTTTTCCTTGCGGAGTCAACGTGACATAGGGGAAACGAAGCCTACCGTCACCTCTTTTGCGTTAGTGGTACATGCCAAAAAAAGGTTCATTTGGACGCCCTCCACTGCCATCTAATTCGCGGATTTTGACTCCTCACCGCGACGCCACCCCACAGACCCCCTAATACTTCACTTCGTTCGCCAACCAAAACAACTTTGCTAGCCTATCCGGCTGGCTTTCCCGTAGTAAATATTACAGTATGTGTGTCTATATATATATATATACGTATATATATATATGGATGTGGATGTGGATGTGTCTTTTCATTCATCTCCCCTGACTTTTAAATGGTCTTTACATGTCTTTGCCCCGTTTAGCTGGACTCCCAGCACAGCCTTTGTCGCTGGCACTGCAGGTGCTGGCGGAGGTGCCATCACAGCCTCCCCTTCGGGCAAAGCGTTCAACCACCTAACCATGAGACATTTCACAGTGCATTGATGAGAAAATCCACATGTTGGATGAGAACATTCACCTCACCTGTTTTTCCCATTGTTTCCAAAATGTGTTCCAAAAATGAAGGCCCATGGTCTACCTTTGAAGTGAAGGCAATGTTTAGGGCTCTCCGGTTGGTCAAAATCGCAGAGCTGATTCCAACATATTCCAACCAAATGTTATGCCAACATCCTGAGGTCGAGACTTTTCCGTGCAGCCTTGCAGCGCTTCTGCAAAACGTCCACAAGCCTTGCAGTGTTTCTCGATTCAGAAATTGCATATGGGACGATCCAGTGTCAATCAATCAATGGTTTGCCAAGTCAATCAGGAGCTGTCACAACAGAAACTGTTGAGGTGTCAAGTTGCATAATTAGGTTGCATAGGTTGCATGGCCCAACAGTTCCCAATAGGTTCCTCGCCTCACGCATCTGCTCAGCACTCTGCATCTGCAGTTGCTGCAGTCGACGCTTTTCAGAGGAAATCTGACGCTGCTGTTCAGCTTCGCCGCGGTGCCTTCGCTGTTCATGTAGAGACATGGAAAAATGGAAGAGGGTTGGAAGATGGATATATTATAGCATAGTACTGGAAAAGCCATGGTTAATGATGATTAATAATGATTAATAATGATTAATAATGGTTAATAATGACTAATAATGACTAATAATGATTAATAATGAGTAATATATAATGAGTAATAATGAGTAATAATGAGTAATAATGATTAATAATGATTAATAATGATTAATAATGATTATATAACAATGATTAATAATGGTTATATAATCGTTAATATTACTTCAATTCAGTTCGCATCAGTTGGCAGAGGAATCGTTTGTGCAGTTGGCATATCTTCCACATTTCCCCAAAATTCCCACAGCCCAGCCTGGAGACCCGCTCCTCCAAGGATTGGATTTCTTGCTTGGCTTTGGCCAGTAGCTCCTGTGGTCAAATCCATCCCCAATGGATCACTGCTGCCAGCCATCTCTTGAAGATGTTTCACATTGCAGCTGCCCGTGTAGAGGTGGACAAATGAAGACCGAGAACAGCAAAATCATATCTATATCCATCTGTATACAGAGAGAGAGAGAGAGAGCGAGAGCGAGAGCGAGAGAGCGAGCGAGGCAGACAGACAGACAGACAGACAGACGGGCAGGCAGGCATGCAGGCAGGCATGGAGGCAGGCAGACAGATAGACAGACAGGCAGGCAGGCAGGCAGGCAGGGAGGCAGGCAGAAGAGATGTATGCATGTATGTATATGTATATAGAGAGAGAGAGAGATAGAGATAGATGTAGGTATAGATAGAGATAGACATTGATATACATGAATACTGTATCCATAGAGATAGGAAGGGATGCAGCCCGTCCTCTGCTTGGGAGCCATTCTTTTCGGCGCGCTCCACCTCGCTAGCCAGGAGAGCCTGGCATTTATCACGTGGCCCAGTGGTGCAGAAACTTGCTGACTTGGTCAATCAACAACTGCAGAGAGAGAGAGAGAGATAGATAGATAGAGATAGATAGAGATAGATAGAGATAGATAGAGATAGATAGAGATAGATAGAGATAGATAGAGATAAATAGAGATACATAGAGATACATAGAGATACATAGAGATAGATAGAGATAGATAGAGATAGATAGAGATAGATAGAGATAGATAGAGATAGATAGAGATAGATAGAGATAGATAGAGATAGATAGAGATAGATAGAGAGAGATAGAGATAGATAGAGATAGATAGAGATAGATAGAGATAGATAGAGATAGATAGAGATAGATAGAGATAGATAGAGATAGATAGAGATAGATAGAGATAGATAGAGATAGGTAGAGATAGATAGAGATAGATAGAGATAGATAGAGATAGATAGAGATAGATAGAGATAGATAGAGATAGATAGAGATAGATAGAGATAAATAGAGATAGATAGAGATAGATAGAGATAGATAGAGATAGATAGAGATAGATAGAGATAGATAGAGATAGATAGAGATAGATAGAGATAGATAGAGATAGATAGAGATAGATAGAGCTAGATAGAGATAGATAGAGATAGATAGAGATAGATAGAGATAGATAGAGATAGATAGAGATAGATAGAGATAGGTAGAGATAGATAGAGATAGATAGAGATAGATAGAGATAGATAGAGATAGATAGAGATAGATAGAGATAGATAGAGATAGATAGAGATAGATAGAGAATGATAGAGAATGATAGAGATAGATAGAGATAGATAGAGATAGATAGAGATAGATAGAGATAGATAGAGATAGATAGAGATAGATAGAGATAGATAGAGATAGATAGAGATAGATAGAGAAAGATAGAGATAGATAGAGATAGATAGAGATAGATAGAGATAGATAGAGATAGATAGAGATAGATAGAGATAGATAGAGATAGATAGAGATAGATAGAGATAGATAGAGATAGATAGAGATACATAGAGATACATAGAGATACATAGAGGTAGATAGAGATAGATAGAGGTAGATAGAGATAGACAGAGATAGACAGAGATAGATAGAGATAGATAGAGATAGATAGAGATAGATAGAGATAGATAGAGATAGATAGAGATAGATAGAGATAGATAGAGATAGATATAGATAGATAGAGATAGATAGAGATAGATAGAGATAGATAGAGATAGATAGAGATAGATAGAGATAGATAGAGATAGATAGATATAGATAGATATAGATAGATATAGATAGATATAGATAGATATAGATAGATATAGATAGATTAGGATAGAGAAGAGAAGATAAGAGCGGAGAAGAGAAGATCAGATTAGATTAGATTAGATTAGATTAGATTGATAGATAGATAGATGGATAGATAGATGGATAGATAGATGGATAGATAGATAGATAGATAGGCAGGTAGATAGATAATGATAAATAATGATAGATAATGATAGGTTGATAGGTAGTAATGATAGGTAGTAACGATAACAATAGTATTTGATAGTAATGATGTATATATCAGGTATCCGATCATGTGTGTCATGTGTATGTAATGTGTATGATGCATTTAGATATATATATATACAGCTGTCTATGATATTTTTGCAGGCTTCTGATGTCTCGTAATATTTGCATATTTTCACGTCACTTTATGTGTATTGTCTGCAAGTTGAAGTATGGCGATCAGCTTTGGACAGCTGCTGTCAGCAGGCGCTGCTTCTTTTTGCTGCCTTCTGCACTGTTCGCACTATGTCAACGGAACTTTCTGAGCTAGACGATGCAAACCACGTAGTCAGTACTCGTGGCAATCTCAAATATCCAAGCAGTGTCCACTGCTTTTGGTAATAAGACTATCAATGATCCTTCTTGAATTCGTTGGGAAGCCAAGTCATAAATTTCAACTAAGGAGCTGCTCTTCAAGGCTGACGTTGCTAAGGCGAGACTTTCCCAACATGACCTGTTTGATCACGAAAGCCAGCGAAGCAAAGCCAACAATCAGCAGGATGGAAGCTGCAATGCCTTGGAGATATGGAGTCCAAGAGAGCAGCCGAATAAACTCTGAAGCCCTGGGAACTGTGATGAAATTCTTTGGCAGAGTCACAAAGCCTTGGAGCAACAGGGGTTGAGCACTCATGATGATGTTCTTCTTTTCACACTTCTCGGTTTCTTTCTCTAACTCTGCGGTCATGTTTGTCACCAGATCCTCGCAGAATTCAACCAGGAACACCGTCCCTTTGTCCTTGGAAAGTGGCTTGCAGCATTCCAGCAGTTGGGGCTCCAAGGGCGGCTGCATTTTCTGGATGTGATACTCAGCTTCACAGAGGCACTCTTCACATTTCTCTTTCATCTCTGGGTCGAGATCGTTACTGTTGCACTTGTCACAAAGAAGATCGAAGCACTTCTCAGGCAGTCGTTTCTGCAAAGTCTGGTTCACTCTCAGAACTGTTCCATTCAAACATGTTCCCACTTCTCCAAGTGCCACCTTGTGCTCTGAAGCCCACTTTAGAACTGGATATGAGATTGCCGCAGTAATGACAGAACACAGAACTACAGCAGTGAGGATGAAGCTCAGAAAAGCACCAAGGAAACATCCCGTGCAGCAAGCACCACACACACCGCATCGGCAGCGACACATTGCTCGCTTTCGATTGTGCGAAACAAGTGCTCACAGGAGGGACTGGCCTTGACAGGAAAGGGGCTTGAGCCGGACACAAAAAACGTTCCAAATATCTGCGTCCACTCTTCGAATGTGAGGTATGCCGCATACGCCTCAGACTTCAAAGCCAGTGCCTGTTGGTCCTCCAGTCGCTCTTTCCGGGTACGTTCGGCATTCAAGTCCTGTCAGTGTTCAATTCCCGGGGGGGTTCATGGATTCAAGCGAAAATCTGCAGGACATCTGCGTTCTTTACCCTGAATATGTGATTCTTTACCCCCTAATCCCTGGGATGTTTTGGTGAGGTCAAGATCACTTAAAACTGACAAACATCTCAGCTTATGATCCGTTTTTTTGCGGTGCCACAAAATTGAAGCAAAGTGAACAATATGGAAACGGTGGACACGTGTGCAATCATATCACATTATGTTCAAAGTATCCCTCTGCTCCTGCTGCGATTTATCCACTGCTTTCTGGGCCAGCTCGGCTTTTTGTTGCAACTCGCTGACCTGTTTCTCCAGACCTCAAGCCAGCTCGCCCAACCTCACAACTTCACCTGTAGAGCCTGTAGATTCACTGTAGATGTGTTGTCAACTAGACCGTCCCCGAAAGTTTCTAAGGAAATCATGAAATCTGTGCACCTCTGGATGCTGTAGGACACATTCCATATGTAGTTCTGCGATTGTATCTGATATGATGAGATGCATACATTAAGTCGCAAACTCGCTGACCGCAGCGTGTGCCACTTCACCCATCTCCAGCCCAGCCCTCCCATGTGTTAAATGTATTTAAACGTTGTTCGTTCCATCCCATTCCTCTTTTCAACTGCGAAAAGGCACTGTTGGCTTCATCTTGAGCTTGGCGGAAGCTTTCCTGTGCACTTTCCAGCCTGCACTCGCAAAGCCAGGGAAGTTCTTCATCTCTACCGTCGCAAAGGATTCGAGTTAGGACTCCTTGTCTATTTCCATACTGGTTCAGGGAAAATTCCCTGCGTTTCATGGTCTCATACCAGTCCGGACTTCTTAATAGCATGTTTTTTTTAGTGTAAAGCATGCCTGCGTTGTCAGAGACAGCGCCTCACGTTTAAAAAAATACTGTGCAACATCAGAGTCGGATCTCAGTTTTACTGTAGAAACAAACCATATGACATGATATAAAATCCCATATAAATCGAAAATGTCGAACACAAAATAAAGTCCTACAATCTC